GAAAAGCAGCGTTGGCTCAATTTAGTTTCAAAAACTTTAACAAAAATCTTGATAGCATAAGTAATTACATACTCCTCCTGGCGGAAATCCCAACTTATTCACATTTGAAAAAGAGGAATAACTTTGTGTATTTACTTGAAATTTCGTAAATACATTTACTAGCACCCAGAAACTGTGCACAAACGTTCCCTGTTAATGTGAATTTTTGAAATTTTCCGTCAACTATGTGCCCTGAGGACGTTAATGAAGGCAGAATTGTCTGTATCAGTGTTGCAGGGGTTTCTGCGACTCACTTGAGTCACTTAAAATAAGCATAAAAAACAATAGACACTTTAACGTCATTATTATGCAATTACTTCTCAATACACTCTTTATGCGACTACTGTATGAATTTCTTACCGAGATTAGAAGATACGGCTCTTACACGGATTAACACGAAAGTGTGCCTGTGCGATGTAAATAGCACATCACCTTTTATAAAAGGTTCCACTGGAAACGCTACACAGCGTCATTGACTCCAACGTCCTAAGTTAATTTGCATTTGAGAGGAGAGTCGATAAGTAAACTGCTAGCACTCAGCAAGTACACCCGATATCTGGTGTCGTCTATTTTGATAATAAACCAGTTTAAAAATGCTTTATGGTGTCTTCGCTGCAGTTGGCTATAGCCAGTGCCTGCGTAGATGAACAGCAATTGTCGCCAAATTGGACAAAACAACCTGTCCTCGTGGATATATTCATATATAGATGGATATCCTCTTTCTTACAGGATAACCGTCTTCAAATTCACTTAAGGCACAAAAAGTAACCTAAGTCCAAACACTGGCGGGAGGTGAAGCCGTATTTGAAATTTGTATCTCATTCCGGCGTAGTCGTCCTTAGTTTTTTAGACGCACATAAACAACATACAGCCAGTTAAGCCATAATTTGGAGCTCCTTACGGTGACTCACAAAAGCCTGTGGCAACGTGGCTATGTAAACAAACTTAGATGAACGTCAGCGCTCCTGAGCATGTACCGAGCTAATTGTCGAGCTAACATCCAATAGGTATTATGTTGACAGAAGGAACAATAGCTTAAAGGCGTGAACAGCCGGTATAGACACCCCATAACACAACCCATAAAAGTAAACTGTGCTTGGGCCTAAAGTGTGCTTTTTTTAAGCATTCTAGTGAACTCTGTAGCTTGGTGTAGCGTCTAAGACTGCCCCCCCCACCGTCCCCCGGTTGAGCTCTAAAAGGCCGAATGAAGCCAAGTTTTTTTCGGCTCTTTAAATTGATTGCTTCTTTTACCCGTTGGCGCACACAGGGTTTGCCTCACCGTTAATGCAGTTCCCTTTTCTTTGCAGATAAATGGCAACTGTGAAGCCGGCGGCCAACTTTAATGCGACGAAGGATGCAGAGGCCCTACGGGCAGCAATGAAAGGCGCGGGTAAGTGATATTTGCATTAATCTGTGTGAAAAATTAAAGATTATTGGTCCAGATGGAACTTTTGCTTAACTGGTAGGCTTTTAGAAAGGAACTTGTCTGTCACCTCTAGTGTATTGAATCTCTAGGTCCATGGGTGGCTGACGACCACTGCTAGGCCAGAAACTTCCAGTAGGGTCACTCCAGCTGTTGTCGATGTTTCCCCTAACAATATAACTGGCGTTAGGTTGTTCAAATTGCTAAGGGGTTGACTTACTCTCTTCTAAACAGGCACGGACGAGCAGGCGATCATTGACATTCTGGCCTACCGCACCGTCAGTCAACGGCAAGAGATCGCACAAGCCTTCAAGGCTTCGTATGGTGAGGTAAGCAAAACTTAAAATTCGTTTCTTTTTTTAATTTTGTTAAAAGAAAGCGTGTCTGTCTGTTTTGAACTAATGGCATGAATGGCACACAATCAGAACGCTACCGTAATTGCTATTAAATCTAGTTTCAGGCAAACATATCATGCAGTAACTGAACTTGATAACTATCGGAATCGCGGAGGTCGTGACAGTTTCAGTGACTTGTGCATTACTCGCTGAGATGCAACCGCCTGTGAGGGCTATAGGCAGAAGGCCCATTTTCGCAACCCTGCTAGCTTCAATCCAGACAGTTGGACCCAGATATTTTATGGTCGAAGAGGCGAGCTGCATATAGTTCTAGATGAATGCCGTTCCGAGGTCTTTTTGTCCTTTTCCATCATATCCTGTGGAGGCTGTTTTCAAGACTTTTAAATCCTTCAGCTTTATAAAACCTTCTACCATCATCCAAGAAGCATTTATCTCATGATTACTGCCCTCCTGACCTAACAGGACATCCATAAAAAGTTGCACGGAGAACTGAGTGGTCACTTTCGGGAGGCTGTGCTGATGTCTTTCCGCGACAAGGCTCACGCCAATGCCTATGCCCTTTACAATGCCATCACTGGGGCTGGAACGAAGGATCGCGTTGTCGTACAGACCATCTGTGTGTGCGACAATAAGGAGATGGAGGACCTGAAGAAGGCCTACGGAGACAGTAAGTCAACATTTACACATCTCATTTAAATTTTTTAAAGTTTTGAAGCATGGATTTCAAAGGGGAACCTTATCATTACCAAAGCATGCATCGCCGAATGGAATTCGAGTATCTTTCGGCTCCTTTGTCCAGGTCATTCTTACCTTAACTCAGAGTGAAAAACTGATGAAGTTCTGCTCAAATATATACACAAAATTTCGGTCTATGTCTGTGAACTTTGAATAAGCGGATCTATACCGAGCACACAAATTAATTTCTTATGAAATTAAAAAGCTGAACGCTGAGATTTCTTATCTGCCCAAAGTTGAAAGGTTTAAGTTAGCAGTAATAAACTCCACTTTAACTACCATGGATACCGATAAGGGAGCGTCTTTCCAATAAACAAAGTAGTCTCCTCACTGTTAATGAAAACATTGTAGTAGAGATAATTCGGCTCCAACTCCAACAGAATGCGAGACTACACTGAGCTGAGGCATCTCTGCTTGACAGCACTTCCAATGGCGATGTAAAATGGCGCTGGGTATCTCCTGTGCTATTTCAGTGGACTATTTATTGGTTTTTAAGTTCCAACTAAACCTACTCACTTTTGGCCTGCTACAAAATGCATGTTCAGTACAATCGGGCCAGTCTTCCATCCCAGAACATCGAAACTGTCCAAATCCATCCCTGGTTTTTGTTTTTACCTTTTAGTTCTGGTCGAAAAGGAACAAGACCGTAAGTTTCCTTTTCCAAGTCCACTTGATATCGTTTTTATTTTATTTAAAAACACGGTTGATGGTTGATAAAAGTGTTCACTCTCTGCCGATAATGAGATACAGGGACACAGATGTATGAAGGCGGGATGCGGTTGCGTAATAACTCTCCGGTTATTGGTTGGCCTGGCGTCTTTCAGACGCGTAAGGATTTCCTTTAGTTCAGCTCGCAGTGTCGCATTCATGGCGTCTCGGTGTGATAAGAAAGTCTATGAGGAAGGTAACCTCACGCATGAGTGTCGTTCGCCGATTTGGCCTAATTGCAGGTCGGAACCCAGTGTAAAACCTGTCTTAAGAGCAGTAACATAGAGCGTCAGTCATAGTCCTTCCAGTACGCCATTGCCTTTGTCATTCAAATGATTCAATCGTGCTCTAGCCCTTTCGGCCCTACTTACAGATTAGGTTGTTCAACTAATGCTTGTGTTTATTTGCAGCCGTAAAACGCGACCTTGAAAAGGATGTCGTGGGGGACACGTCAGGAGACTACAGGAAGGTCCTAGTCGCTCTCCTTCAAGGTCAACGCGAACACGAAACAGCCAAAGCAAACGTGGTCGCTGACTGCGAGGCCCTTTACGCCGCTGGGGAAGGGTAGGTTGTTTGTAGTCCGAACACTGGCAGCCGAGGCCACTGTGCTCATGAGTTTGTGGCACGTGTTCAAACTCAGAAATGGTGTGTACGTGTTTTTGCCTTTTCAGAAAGGTGGGAACGGACGAATCGGTATTTGTGCGAATCTTGGCCAACAGGAGCCATGCTCATATTCGCGAAATAAACAAAGTCTATAGCTCCGTGAGTTGACTTCTTCCCTTGCATGTTGCCTAGAACGTGAGAGTTCCTATTTATAATCACAAAATGAAGCCCATAGGTTTATTTTGTATCAGGTTCTGTTCAGCCCTCCAAACATGTTTGGAGTAAGCCGAATTACTCTATCTGATAAAGTTTTGACTTGTCTTCAATTGTTAAGGTTCGAAGCGTCGTCACTTTTAGAATACTTGCTCTTCGTTTGTCTCTGAATATCTGAAAGTCTTCCAAGTGTGAGATCTTCCCTGAGACTAGCATGATAGGAATTATTATTATTGTAAGGTTTATATCTTGTTTGACCTTAGTATAAATAGTCATACCGTCGCTTTTAGACCATGGGACACGACCTCATAAAGACGATCCAAAAGGAGACCTCGGGCCACTTTAAGGAATGCCTCGAAATCATTGGTAGGTTCACTTTATGTTTGCCCCCAGGGATTTTTCCAATTGTTCGATCGCATTACCCTTTATTTTTGCGCAGATAGTGCAAGTTCATCGATAATCGAAAAAAATAGACCTGACATGCTCCTAACCGCCCTCTTGCATCAACGTCAAGAACGTCTCGGAGGCCGTCAATCGACTTCTCGCACGACTTGGAGTCGCACACATACCGGAGGCAATCAATAAGCCTCGGGT